GGGGGGGGGATGTCAAGGTTTCGATTTGATTCGCGCAATAGTTAAATTTCATTGGTTTGTGACTGTATATAAAATGGTCACTAGTATACATGTAAATTAGAGAAGCATCGATGGAATCCACGACATGTGTTGTGAAAATTTGCACAATTTAATGGACATCAACAGCTTTTGCTAGCCATTACATGCCTCAGTGAGCTGTTTTACCAGTCTAGAATACTACAGTCTGTAACTTGCTTATAGTGATAAATCCACCTGGCTATTAATTTGAGTATTACTAAAATGGATTTAATAATGAGCTGTTAAATGCAAAGTAAAAATTCAATGGAGAGGGGGGTGGGGGCACTGTCCAAAAACTTTGGTAGGTGGCTGCAACCTTCACCTCTCCAAAATTTTGCCTCTGAATGTACCTGGATAAATTGATTCACAAGTTACAGCAAACTTATTGAATCAATTCTTAACAGGCCATAATACAGGCATTGTGTAGAGCAACATCAGAACAAATGAATAAAGTTCTGGAACTTCAACGACATGCTGGGATGCAACCCAATGCAAACACAGACAATGAGGAGTTGGTAATTCTTCGTCAAGAATGTGGCACAGCAGGTATTACGTCTGATAGACTAAGTTGGTCTCCTCTGCAGGCGTCTTGTGGTTCTCCTGGATAGCTTGGATAATTCACGTTTTTGGCCCGCAACCGAATTCTGCCCGTCAATCTAAAGGCAATGCCTGCAGAGGGGGCTATTAATTATCAAAGTCTATTTCATTGTGATTGTGACTTTTCCGAATGTAAAATCATCTGGTGTTAGCTTGTCGAGTAAAATAACCACACTTGTATAATGCATTGGGGTGCAATGCTATGGGTTAAACATTTACTGTAGCATCAACTCGGGTTTTTAGCTAAGTGGGTGCTTTTTACTTAGCTTCTGCAAATCTATGCAAAAAGGAATAATCATTATACATGTATCAGGGTCAGTTGCCATAATACCCACCCTAACCTACATGGCAACATCTAAATTGTTTGAATCGAGGTCAGTTTGATGCATACCCACCCACCCTTGCAACATCTGAAGTGTTCACAGCTGTTCTGGTTTTGCATCTGAAATGTTTCTATTAATAAGTTTCAGGTACTGTAGGTTAATAATTTGATTTACTATTTTATTTAGAAAACATGAAGGTTGATGATGTCAGTACAGATTTAAAAAAATGTAAGCCCCAGCCTGGAACACGTTCTTAAATTACTGCAATGCATGGGTCAAAGCTCGCGATCTCTTTACAGACATGTTCCTCTCTGATATGGAAATCTCTCTAATATAAACACCCCTCTTATCTCTAATACCGACACTTCACTAATTACCGACATGCACATCTCTAATACAAAAACTTGCATAATCTGTATGGCATGTAGTAAAACACCGACTACCGGAACACCACCGGAACACCACCATTTTGTTTGGGTTTAGGGTTAGGGTTGAAGGTTGGGCCGGGTTAGGGTTAGGGTTAGGTGGTGTTCCGGTGTTCCGGTAGTCAGTGTTTTACTACATGCCAATCTGGACACCTCCTTAATAAGGCGAGTTGCCAAACATTTTTGTGACAGAATTCGGCATCTTACAGTATTTCCATTTTAAAAGAAATCTATAAATATATATAAAAACATGGAAACCTCTATATTACAAGCATAATTTTATATGAATTAATACAAATTAAGATTTGTGATTGTTTGCCTTTATTATTACAGTCATGCAACTCATTTATCATGATTTTTAATCTCCTTAATATAATATAATATATGTTTTTTATTTCCATAATACAGATGGCAAGCTGACCACAACATGTAGATCTGGAAGCAATGATTTTGATCCAGTGACAGAAGAAGAATTCATGAATGTCTCAGATTTAGTGCGTGGAAGATCAAAATTAGAAGATGTCAACCAGGTGCAGATTTTACTACATAGTAACATACTCCACCTAAAGTATACCACATAAAAATAATTGAGAATTTGACTCTGTAATATCTGAGGATTTGACTCTGTAGAATATTGCAGTACTGTTTAACCCTATCGTCACCAAAGTATTTACTGTATAATGCATGGCATGCTTTTCTTTTTATCAATGGCAGGTTTACAATGCTCTGTTTACATATTTTCAAAAGCATCGCAAAGTCAGGTAATTTATTTTGATGCGTGGGCATTTTAGACTAGCATTTGCTTGACATGCTCATTTTAGACTTGTTGTTTGACGCGGCTCATCAAAAATAAAATCTACTGTACTGTAGAGACATGCTTTATTTTGCTCAAATGACAGTGTAGTTTAAACTGATATTACTTGTGCCCAAACGAAGTTTGGCATCGCTTTACAGTACAGTATATTCGTTGCGCCAGTTTGTGTTAGTTTGTTCTGTGGTTTGTTAGTCTGTTCCTCTGCAAGTTTGTAGTGTAATATTATTGTATTAGTTTGATATTAGGAAGTTAGTCTCACTGTCAGTTTGTGTTTGTTCGGAATCATAAGCCTTGATATTTACTCAAAAGTAGTATGTTTTGTGCTTGTGGTGCACTTGTTTAAGCCGCCAATATTCATGCTGTTTTGCGCATGCTCCAGGCCACTGCACATGTCTGGGTTCTATTATATTGACTCGCGTGCATTTTTCTTTTAGTCGCTTAACCTTGAAAGACATGACAAAACTTGGCCTAAAAGTTTCGGGAGCAACTGGAAGTGCAAAATTGAAGGTAATGTGGCAATGTGCACATTAAACCTTGCGTTAGTTTTATTTTAGTGGCTTAAGTTAAGTGAGCTAAATACCTTTCTCTAACTACCTGTTCTGTATAGTTAACTCATTAAGCTGCAATACGCCTAAATGCAGCGTCTTTTTAGCAAGGCCAGATTTGGAAATAGTGGGGGATTTGGAAGGAAATTTAGGGGATGTGAAAGCACATTTGGGTTGCATGTACAGTATTCTGTCTGAATGAAAATCTAGGGTTGCATGTATCTCTGTCTAATATAATACAGTCGAACCTCTATTAAGCGGCCCTCCATTGAGCGGCCCTCCATTGAGCGGCCACCCTCTATTAAACGGCCACCTCCATTAAGCGGCCGCGGGCACCCAAAGAGCGGTCCCAAATGATGTTTTATGTCAATTTTTACCTCTATTACGCGGCCAGCCTGCAGGATTTACTCTGGGCAACACTTTGTCAAGAGAACCGCAAATAAAAGCATATCGAAATCCCGAAATTTTTGTAATACAAATACTATAAACTATCCCTCTATTAAACGGCCACCTCCATTAAGCGGCCGCGGGCACCCAAAGAGCGGTCCCAAATGATGTTTTATGTCAATTTTTACCTCTATTACGCGGCCAGCCTGCAGGATTTACTCTGGGCAACACTTTGTCAAGAGAACCGCAAATAAAAGTCAAGCTAATTTGCTTTATTTGTAAAAAAAAATGCTTAAAAATTATGTTTTAACACATGCCACTTTCCACCTCAAAAGCATTGTCTGTAGTAAAAGTGTCAGTGTTTGGCGCCCTGATATTTCTAAAGTCTACTCACTGTTCACTGTTGTAATCAGTCTGTGATTCATTATTAAAATAGACATTTGACTACGCCCAGGGTCTATTATTTGCGTACCTCTATTTAGCGGCCACCTCTATTAAAGCGGCCACAAAGCCGATCCCCGAGGGTGGCCGCTTAATAGAGGTTCGACTGTATACTGTAATTTGCAGGGTGCAATAATTCGCGTACTTATACGTCTTCTGTCTTTTCAGTAACGTATAGGCTACTATGTAGATACGCGTTACTCTTGTTATCTTGCGTAATTAACTTTTTGCTTTTGGCCTTTCCAAGCCCAAGTTATTCAAAATCATAATTTAGTCGGAATATGTGAAAGTCTAGCATGACTTGGCATTAAGAGGCAATTTTTTTCAATGTCACGTATTTGCGATGAAAAGTGTTCAAAACCTAAAATCTTTTTGGCGTTCCTCTCAAAATTGCTTTGTTTTAGCTTTACTCTCTAGTTTATAGAGTTAGCAACCTTTTCAAATGCATCTGCCAGTTGAGAAACCGCATAAAATAGGCTAATAGTTAAAAATTGTTAATTAAAATACAATTATCAATGATGCTTTAAAATTGACGCCATATATTTACAGCCATATAAGCAAAACTTACTGAACTTCAGACATACTGTAATTTTCTCTTTGGCGTATCATCTAAAATCTCTTCATTTTAGCATTATTTTACAGATAAAGCACTAAACATACTTTTAAGTTTGTTTGCCGATTGAGAAACGTATCGAAAAATAAAAATTTTGAATTTAGTCATAACCTCAAGTGATATATTATACGCATTAGTTTTGAGCGCGTGTTTTTTTTTGTTTTTTTTTAATTTTTTTTATTTAAACATATGCAGTTAATGTTTTGAGTAAGAGCAAGTCTAGTCAGTCAGAGCGGTTATCTCTCAAATACATCATTGTGATTGGTTACCTTTTGCACCAACCGTACTGTTGTTACAATTAATTCATTAATTTTCTTTAACTATTATTTTGTACAACCGGCCCGTACAAAAAGACCATACATGAAGTTGCTAAAATACTAATAAGAAATGTTTTTAGGTTTTAAGAACATTAAACATTATTGAAATCAGCAAAGATGGAAGTGTTAAGATGGTCTAGATACGGTATTAACAGTAAGTGCAAACTTAAGGGGATCAGAATATGTGAGTTTTGAACTTACATCTTTGGAATTCGGGCAATCAAGTTAAGTCGCCGGTTGACTATTAGACATATTAAAAATTGAAGGTAATGCAATGCACATTTTGATATATTAAATATTAGAATCCTGCAGTCATGTATTAAAAATCCTGATATGTGGATATAATACTGATATATTAAATACTATGTATTAAATACACAAAATCCTGATATTTTAAATATAGCCGAAATATAGCCAGTATAGGTGGATTGCAAACAATTTGTTGAAAATTAAAAGATAACAAAACGACAGTCATGTTGGTGACTAATTCAACGAAAAATAATGAGATTCTTTTGTTGAAATATTACCAGAACCGCGGATCCTTGCACTCACAGCAAAGTTTATAAACTTTATTTAGTATCCAATTAAAATGCTCTGTCAATTTCACCCAACGACAACAACAACAACAACAACAACAACAACAACAATCTAATAGGTAAAACCGCTAATAATAGTATAATCTATATAATTAGCACTAACCAATCAAAAGATAGATTAAAATATTTTTGTCTCGTAGACCAATCAGGTTCATGAAAAGATGGGTTGTGGCTTTTTACATGCGGCCAGACAGGGATTTGTGTCAGACCGACTTTTCCCTTCCATCCACCCGCATTTAAGGAAGGGAAAACAGGGCCTGATGCTAAGGCTAATATGGTTGACAGACATCTTTTCCTGACAGACATGTTCATCCAGACACAGATTTAGCACAGTTGGTCTGCAGCGAATGTTTATCCCCAGGTTGCGCCCCCCAGTTCCTGGTATAAATTGCTCGATGACTAGGCCGGGTGAGGCGGTTAATCGATAAACAGTAAAAAATCGATGCCTCTTGAAACCCGATTTAACCGATGTTGCTATCGGTCAAAAACCAGAGAACCGAAATACCGAGGAAAAAACCGGACAAAAATCGGTATTTCAATGAAATTGGCATATTTCTTCTTTTGTAATCAGGTTGTTTATAATTAATTAATACAATTAGTTTCGAAACTAAAGTCTTGCGCGAGTAGCGTTCGTGCACGTTTTTAGCTGTGCTGTAGTTTCGAACGTGTTTTAAAAAACCCCGGTTCACTCGGTTTTTCGGGTTTTTTCGGACAGTTTCAGTTTTTTGGTGAAAACCGCCTCACCCCTATCAATGATTCATTTTGCATTTTATAAACTGAGTTTCAACCAAGTTTTTGGAGAGGGGTTCTGGGCTTCTGGTACCCTGGATTCCAGAGCCTTGACAGTAAATAATAAATTGAAATGTCGCGAAGGCTCTGGTTCAACGGGGCGATTCTCTGATTAAGCCGCGCCAATCACAATTAGTACAGATTCTGTACTAAAACCACTAAATAAATTCTGTTTTGTGATTGGCGCGGCTTAATCAGAGAATCGCCCCGTTGAACCAGAGCCTTCGCGACATTTCAATTTATTATTTACTGTCAAGGCTCTGGAATCCAGGGTAGGCTTCTGGCGATGAGAAAGGAGACTTGTAAATATATAACATACATGAAAGCAGTTAAAATTACTACTAAATTTTCTTTGACTTTGTGTTCAAAAGTACTGAAAAAATTGTGAAATTAATGACAGCTGTTAATTTTAACGATCATGCAATGCTAAACTATGATCTAGACTAGTACATCTGATGCTCTGATCTAGTACATCTGACTCAGTCATATTACCCAAAATGTAATCTGTTCAAAAGCACTTAATTTTTTAACAATTGTAAAATTAATGATAGCTGTTCATCTTACTGTAATTAAAACGATTATATAATGTTTTTAAGCTGTTCTGGTGCATCTGGGCACATACAGTATCACACAAAATGCTACCAGCAGTTTAATAACAGTTTCGTCTTACACAATCTCTGCAATAAATCCCCTCCTCGCTTCCATCATTGAAGGAAGATCATTCCATTTAGACGTTTTAAAATCAAATGCTTCCACTGAGCTTACAGTTCCTTTCGGGCCTTGTCCTCCCATAACTACCAACGAGTTTCCATCGACAACTGCACAACATTCCCAACGGTTGTGCTTCATTGGTGGTAGCTCAGTGTTCTCTTCTGTCTCGATATTATAACTCACGACTGTGTTTCTATTATCATATTGATGAGTACCACCAGCAGCTAGAATGACATTTTCTCCATACTTGGCAGTTGCCATGTTGCACACTGCATAAGGTAACGGTGCAAGTTCCTTGAACTCGTTCTTGGTTATGTCATACATGGTGACACTCGAACTGGTTGCACCTCCAAACATCAAAATTTTGTCATTGACCAAAACAACACCACAGCCTGTAATGGCTCTTGAAAGCTTAGCCAAAACCTTTGTAGTGAAAGGGAAATGTAGTTGGATTTCGTAAATCATATCCGAACCAGAATAATCCTCATCATAACCGCCTAGAACAATAAGTCGATCATTATACAGTACAGTGCGATGTCCTCTCAACGGCCTGGGCAAATTGACTGAAAGGTTAGACCAAGAAGGTGGGACAAATGGACTAGCATTACGACTAAACTGTTCCATGCTGCTCACGACATGGCTATCGCCTGAGATACCCCCTGTGACAAGGACTGTATCGCCATTGTAAACAACAGAACTCGCATTGGCACGGTGTTTTTTCATTGATTTCATCTGTATCCACGAATTTGTGGTTTTATCAAAGACTTCGACAGAATTTAGTGACCTGTTGTTTTGATTATACCCACCAGCAACAACATATGCATATCCATTGGGATGTTTGGCATCTTTAACATCGCTGCTTCGATCTTCTGCACTAGCTTGATCACTACGAGAATTTTCCATTCCTTCAAACCTATTTTCCAGTGCTGTCAAACCGGTTTTCATTTCGTCGACGCTCGTATTTAATTTCTCAACAAGACCACCCAAACTTGTGCTGATTTTTTTAACCACAGGGCCCATCTCTTCACAATTTTGACATTTCACTTTACGAAATCGACATTCCTCGCCCTGGTGTCGAAACTGATCCTCTCTGTTGATCTCGCTTGAACATTCTTCATTCGCGCAAACAACTGGAGCCTTACCACACACAGCGACATGACTTGCCAAGTTTCCAAGCTGAACGATCTCCTCACACCCACGCTCGTGATGATCACATCGAATTCTTTGTTCCGATAATAAATTCCTTAGAATACGCGGTACGTCTGCTAGTGATTCCACGGTTAGATCTTGATTACAGGAAGGGCAAGTGTGGTAATAGTGAAGATGCTTGGTGATACAACCTCGACAAAAACAATGCTCGTTTTTGCACATAACTGGATCCTTGAACACGCACGAACAAATGGCACAGTGTAGGTTCTCGCTTACAACTGTTTCGAATCGTTCATCTGGGTAGCCGAATTCGTGGAAATGCTTATTTTCTTCGGTCATTTTAGCTAGTCTGTGACTTTGTGGTGTTGTCTATCAGGATACAACGGCTTGACTACACAGAAAATGAATATAAACATACATTCATTAAGTCATTATTGTGCAAATAGAGAAAATATGGTAATGAAAACATCAAGATCGTTTGGCTCGCTCCTATATAGTCCTAAATAAATTTGAAATTGTAGCACTGCATAAAATATTTAAAAATAACTAAGAAACCTACCTATGCACACTTTATTATCAACAAACTCGTCGACTGGAAAATATTGAGCAATCGTTCTCAAAATTTCCAACCGGAAGGCGGAAGATCCTGAAAAATTTGATCCTTTTTACATCCCTTGAAAGCTGTAATATCTTCTAGCTTTAATACTGTTGTAAAATCACAATATTTTGGTGATATTAACTTGGACAAGCAAATTCTTTTTTCTTTCTCGCGTCTTGACTACCGCGATTCGTATTTACACATACTGCATACCAGATCAGCGCTGCATACGCAGACTGTAGTAATCCTATACTATGTTAATTAATACACCTTTCATATTATTGATTCAAGTTTTTTGGAATATTGACCAATGGCCAACCGAGCTAATATCACATGATACTTGAGAATGAAAACGTGCTACACATCTGTCATACAAGCTTGCAGGGTAAGACAAACAATGACAAGAATAATTTATTGACCTAGGATTAAATTATTTACATCGTATTATGCGACACAGGTTATTTTTGGCCATAGCAACAGGTCATGCTATGCAAATTTTTAATGATTTGCATAATTCAAACCTTTAATTAACCTATCTTGTCTTTAAACCTATTTAGATGCGGGTTTGTTAGCATAGCATATGACCAGTTGCCATGGCAACTGAAGATCCCTATAATCCCTATAGTATACAGATCTACTACTTAGTTATGCTAATTTTACATCAAATCTCGAGTCGGTGCCAGTGTAGGTAAAGGATAACAATCGCCTGAGTACATAGCACACACAAAACATATCATGATCGTAAGAACACATTGGTATCGAAGGTACCAGACTTAGTTCTGAAATACCACATACTCGAACCGACTTGACCTCGTAGCTTAATTGGCAGAGCATTGGACTAGTATCCCAAAGGTCGCGGCTTCGATTCCCACCGTGGTCAGGCTAACTTTTCAGCCTGCCCGGTGTGGATTTACGCTCAGAGTAACATCACAAACATTATATTCACCTGAGTACATAACATCAAAACACACACGAAAAAAATATAAAGCAGATACAGGCAGATATAATGTAAAGGACAATAATCCAGGTGATCTTGATACGCGGAAAAGTACTGGCACTAGTTGTCAAATAGAAATTCATTTTATGATTAAAACAACTGAATATCTCCTGTAATATACTTTATTTCGATTCCATATTTTTGTCAGAGCTATAGTTCTCATAACCAAACATAATTACAAAAGCTCAACTAGTTTCATAAAGAATAATGAAAGATATAATTGACTGAATACATCAAAATGGATTTCTATTCGGACAACCCTTTCTGAGCGCTGATTGGCTAAAATACGAACACGAGATCACCTGGATATTAGCAGAACAAGGGGCGACGAAGGCTGTGCGAAGCGAAGGTTATGCTAATTACGTCCCGGCAAAGTAATGGCTTCGCTCGAAACATTGAAGGTCTGTTTATATTTTCAGAAAGTTGTATCAAGGGCGGATTTTCATTTTTTTAAAGGAGGTGTGGAAAGGTTTATAGTGAGGTACACAAGCGGCACCCCTGAACGAGCTTCGGCAGGGGTTAGGCGTTATTATATAATACCTTATTGAATTCTGATCGTTTAATTGGCTGTTTATGGTCACGTGATATTGAATGGAAAATTCCATTTCCCAAGAGTGCAATGGAATACGTTCCATTGCCCTCTTGCGAGTGCAATTGTACTATACGTTTTATTCCATTGCACTCTTTGTGTTTTCGATAAATCGCATTCGTCAAAATGCTTCTCGTATGGTGATCGCAGTTTATTTTAACTCGATATTCGAAACTCAGTAAATGGGTTTTAATGCAAATACATGACTCGTCAAAATGGCGTGAGCTTACAGTAAACTTTTTAATATTAGTCTATTTTGGTATTATATAAAACAAATAATGAATGTTTTTATTCGTGCAATAGTAAGAATATTTTCATTCGGTGAAAGATGGAATGTTCCATTCAACTCGGCTGTCGCCTCGTTGAATGGAACGTTCCATCTTTCACCTCATGAAAATATTCTTACCATTGCACTCATAAACATTCATTATTTGTATATTATAAGGGCTTCGGTGACACAATCATCAGTGCAAGCGCCATTCACCTCTGAGATCGTGGTTCCTCGATTCTCGCTACGGACTCATGCATGACACTTTTTTTTTTTACAAACTTAGTCATAAATGACAGGTTAACCCTACAGAGCTTAATGCTCCATTTACAGGGTCCCTAATAATATGTATATATATATATATATATATATATATATATATATATATATATATATATATATATATATATATATATATATATATATATATATATAT